AGGATGTGAACAAACACATGCTTAAATGAAGCATCTACTCAAGTACCTGAGCCAGACTCCTGGGTGCCACTGAGAGCACCCCGTCATCCCGGTCCCACTACACCAATCAGCTGTAAAGTCCCACAGCACCATCATGACATCTCTTGGCTTTGCTTCCTCCTTTCTAGGCCAATTCCTTCACCTGGGCCACCCTCAGCTTTTTACTGGATGAGCAAAACAGCCTCTGAGTTGCCTCCTAGCCTCGCCAGTCTCTGGCCTGGTGGTTCTCAGATTCTGTGTGTATCAGACTCACCCAGGGAGCTTGCAAAAGGTGCAGATTTCTGGGTTCCATTCCTACCAAGATCATGATTCTGTAAGGAGAGGCACAAAATTTGCTCTTTTGCTGTTTTGTGTGCCTGCATGTTTAACAAGCTCCCCAGGTGATCTGATCAAGGTGCTCGGGAAACCCCCGGAAAACACTGGAGTGGACTGCAGTCTTTCCAAGACACAAGTCTGATGGCGTCTTTGCTTTAGGGGCTCCCCACAGCCTTCGGGTGTGACGTGGTGATGGGGAGTGGCCCCTAGCCTGTGTTCTACCTTCACAGCTACACACAGGTTACCAACCTGGCCTGTTCCTGCTCCCTCGGTCTTGGCACACCCACCTCCACCTACCAGGAATGCCTTTCCCAGCTCTGTCCTTGATCTGCTCCCATTCTTTCTCCAAGATGAACTCAGATGTCACCTCCTCTGGGAGTCTTCTCTGACTCCTGGGCTGGATTGAATTCTCTGTCCTGCCATAAATGATCTCTCACTTGATTTAACAAACACATAGAGTGATTACTATGTGCCTAGGCCCTGTTTCAGGTGTACTGAATCCATTACAACCATATGAAAGAGGAACTAAGATTGCCCTCATTTTACAGACAAGAAAACTGAGGCACAGAGAAGGTAAATGCCTTGAGTGCGGTCACACAGCTGGTAAGTGGCAGGCCAGGGACCTGACCCAGGCAGTCTGGATCAAGTCCACATCCTTTCTACCCCACTGCCCTGCTGCCTCTTACCCATCCCAGCACACCAGACATGGCGTTCCCCATGGCTACCTGTGCTTCTCCTCTATGGGACAGAAAGCCCCCTGGGGTCCTTGAGGGGGACTAAACTCCCAGTCTAGGGTCTAACTCATGGTGGAAATGTAAGGAATATTTGCTAAAAACTAAGTTGCACATCTTGGCACTGGATTAGCAAGGAAAGATAAAATTCATGAAACCTCAGAATTTAAAGACTTTAAATGGGATCAGGCCCAGTGACCTGCCCAATAACTCTACTTTTCAGAGAGCAACCTGCAGGGCCTGCAGACACCAACAAGGAAAAACACACCACCGGCTCCAACTCTGCGTGGCACCGACCACCAGGAAGTCCCTCCTCACACATAACTGAAATGCGTCTCCACATTCACCTGGTAGTCAGTCACAGGCTGACTTCTCTTGAAAAGGGATATGGAAGACAACTCTGGCTTTTACTTCTGCAACTGGGAATCTGAATCTCTAGTTCACCTTCAACATCTCCCTCTGACCCCACTGAAGTCAATCAACCCTGGTCAAGAGGACAATCCCAGATATGGGCGCTCGATGCTCAGTATAAACAGCCCCCATCGTGACCACTGTACTCTAATTAAAAACAAATACATGGATGATATATTTCGAAAGCCTACCCGAAAGCCGATGTAACATCCCCTCTGGCAACCTTCTGGTTAAGCCCTGGTTTTCTGATGATGGTGCATTAGCTGAAACTTCGTACTGGTTCACTTGAAAGGTTTATGTTGGCTATGCTTTCATAAGCCAAGAGTTTTCCCATAAAGTTCTGTTCTCATACCAACCTTGCAAAGCAACAACAATTAACTCCATTTTACAGAAGAAGATACAGGACACACAGCTGCTTACTGGGGAAGCTGACATTCAAACCCAAGGTTATGATTCCAGAGCCTGCCTGCTCCTGTCACACGGCCATTTTGAGAATGGCGGTGGTAACCTGGCAGAATGAGCGTCAAGGAAATGCTGGGTTACGCAGAAAAGCTGGTGATTACAAACGAGCAGAGAAACGTAGCTCATGATTTGTAAGCCTTTACATCCTGATGGTCTTCCCTTATTGCGTTAAAGGAGTCCTTCAATTGGAGAAGTTATGTTTCCACTTGTGTGTATTTTAACTATAATAGCTGAAAACATTTGTGCCATACTCATTCCCTTCTGTAATTCAAGTGAATTTCAGAATGCCCCTATTTCCAAACTGGAAACATCAAGGACGTCAAAATATAAGATAAATGATTTTACTAAGGACTGCAGGCATATAGGAGATCATGAGTACCATTTAAGATCAACATGTTTTAAGAAACTGTGAGCAGCATCTTTGGGCTAGTCAAACGAAGCAGCGGGAGGGGAGAAGGAACAAAGGAATCTGTAACTGGTTGCGATCAATTCGTTGTAAACACCACTGTACTGGGGCCAGCCAGTATCTTCATCTTTTTTGTGGAAGCTTCCCTACTTCGTCTACCCCCACAGTGTAGAAAAATGTCACGCGTCCATAAGCACTCGATAAATATATGCAAGTTCATTATGCCCTTTCTGTACCCAGAGAAAGAAATGCTTATTTTAAATAGCTAATTTTTGAATCATAAGCTGGGTAATATCTTTTTCATATTCAAAAACATCAGAAAACACAAGCTACCAAAAAGACAAAATAAAATCTATAATCATTTCAGAAAACAAGACTATGCTGTTTACTTAAAACATGAGAAAACCAATTTACATTTAGTTGCCTCAAACGTATTACTAAAAATTAGTTTATGTGCTAATCTGGTATTCAAGAGTTTGTCAAAACACATAGCAAAGAAAAAGTCCATATGTTTTAGGGTAAGAATGAGAACATCCATGTTACTTAAGCATAAACCTTTACATTATGAATTAGTGCAGTTTCTTACCCCACAATAATAAGCAACCAATAAAGCAATTAAATAAATGAAGCAATTAAACTCCATTTGTACAGAAATGGAGAAATCCCAAAGTTACAGTTTACCTAGAAGTAGAAGAGCAGTAAGGACGTCCATATCTTAATATCTTTCCGAACTCCAATGTCTCCAAGAATAAAGAGCTCAGACCCAGTCAGGCTAATTTACCCTGCAAAATTTTCCTTTAAAAACTATGGCTGAAAATTGGCTTTCCTAAAACAGAAGGTACTTTCAGAGGAGTTATATAAGCAAAACACACAGGCCAATTCAGTGACGTGGAAACCAGCTCATGCAAGAGAAATGCCGCAAACACAAGTAACCCACATTCACGTCTGAGAACCTGTCAGCTTCTCAGAATAAAAATCAGGATTGATTGTAACATCCTACCACTCCAACCAAAGGATGGAAAATTTTTAATGAAATGTTACAAACAATTAAACTACTGAAAGTCCTGCCACCCTTTTTGGAAAGGATTCCTATTTTACATCTGGAGTATTTTTAAACTTCTGGTGCCCACCTTCTCTTGACCTCCTTTCCAATTCTGGAAGGATAAAATGAGTACTTTCAACTCCCTTTACTGTTAGAAATAACCTGTGATATGCACCAGATGCGTGCATGGGAATATGTCACCGCTGGAGGTGAGTAAGAGGAACTTGCTGGAAGCCTCCTCACTTCACACCACCTATTCCTAACACCAAGTCTTTCCCATGTTCCTCTGTGCACTCACATTCCACTCGCTAAGCCACCTGCCCTTCCTTCCATCATTCACACTGTGACACAAATGCCACCTCCTCACAGAGATGCCCTGGGTGGTGATGGGTGCCAACTGCTTACTTCCCACCCATTAGGGTGAGGCAGTCAGTGGAGGGAAGGCAGGTGACAGCAAAAGCACAAAGCCTGGCACTATATAGACACTTTCTCAGCTTCAAGTACACAGCAGCAGAGGGAAAGAAAATTGGGGTCCATGTGCTTTTCAGAGCAGGCACAGAGTCACGCATTCGAGAAACATTTATGAAATACCTACTATGTGTTGGGCACCGCTGGTTCCTGGGATATAGAGGGAAAAAGGACACATTCCCCACTCTCAAAGAGCAGACAGTCTTGTAGCAGGAAAGGACCCAGAACTGAAGACTACAACCCTGTACGGTTACTGAGAGGAAGGGAACCGGGCCAAAGCTTTTATGGCTACACCAAAGAAGCTCCAAACCCTTGGGGACTCCTGGAAGGTTCCTGGGCAGAAGAGGCAGGGATGAAAGGGAAAGGGTAGGATGGGTGAGGAGAAGGCACTCCGGATAGCGGGCACCAGGATCTGGGCACAGAGCATCGGCTGGCACTCATTGAGTGTGCTAATTAGAGAGGGGCCACAGGAGGACAAGGGGCCTCACTGGGCCACACTGCGGGGTTGCATCCAAGAAGGTCCCAGGGCCAGATCTGTGATTGAGGACATCCACTCTTGGGGGAGCTGTGGTATGCACAGATTTGGGGCACAGCCTCAGCACTAGGATCCCAGTGGACTGGCCTCCTCAGGACACTCTTACCTGGACACATGGGATTTATCAGGCAAATCTCCTGCTGCCCGGGGGCAAGCTTGATACTAGTGTCTTGAACCCCGCCCCCCGCTCCACCTTGCCCCAAACAACTCCAGCCCTACAGCTGACTAGATATAAAATGGACACCCAGCCCTCAGTGGACACACACCTCTGCTGTGTATCTCAGCACGAAAGTCAAACTGGGCCACTCGTTGTCTCCACCTGGGAAGTCTGAACTAAGAATCTGCGAGTAACCAGGCAGTCTGGGAATCCAGGTCAAAAGAGCACTCCCTGAGCACTGCTCGGTGAGTTAGAATCCTGTTTGCAAACGTCCACCGTGAGCGCCAACAATAAAAAGACTTAGTTGTTTCCAACCTCCTTGTTCATTTTTAAAAAAAGGCTTTGAGGCCTTCTTGTTTCCCACAAGCCTGGGCCCTCTGTTTCAGAATGAAATATCCTCCCCTCCACACCCTGGTGACACCTGCTCTACTCACAGAACTGCAGGCTGAGGCTCAGGAAGGCCAGCAGCGCAGCCAGGGCCAGCAGCAGCAAGAAGCGGTTGCGGAAAAGCATTCTCCTTCTATTTCCTCTTCATGGTTTCACCTCAAATTGGGGACATGTCCTGTGAATAAAACAGAGGCAATAAACAAGTGTTCAGAGATGGACAACCAAGTTTGTCAACTGAAAATAATCCGATTAGTCTGGTCCCCTGGCAGGGAAGCGTGAATCTCTAGCTGGAGAACAATAGCACACTTTATGATTAGTCTTTGCCCCCAGATAAGCCCAAGCAAGAATGCTGCCTTCCAGTTAACAAGAGGAAACCCGTGCATGAATGCCTCGTTTATCTGACATCAATAGGGAGTGAGATATTGCACAGGCATGACCTTTCCAAAGAAAAATGTAAAGGATGTTTACTGAGCATTTACAAAGTCCCAGTGAAGGAAGTCTTCATGAGGACCAGCGTGCCCTACCATGACC